AACATGAAATAATTCAAGTTATTCAGAGCATATTCTTTAACTACTACAGAATTAAAAATCAACACCAGGAAGATATCTGAAATACTTCCAAATATTTGGAAACGCACACACTTCTGGAGATAGCATATTGTTGGGACTAATTTTTTTAAGGCGATCTGCCAGTCTGTCTTTTGATTGATGAGTTTAGGCCATTTATATTGATATTATTATTAAAAAATTATTTTTATTCCCTGTCATTTTATTTCCAGTTTTTAATTTGAATTGTTTCTCCTTTGACTATTCTTTTAGTGTAGTTCCTCACTTTTTTTTTCATTTCTGCAAGAAATATTTTGAGTATGTTTTGTAGTTCAGGCTTTTCAGCTGTGAATTCTTTTAACTTTTGCTTATCATGTAAGATTTTTATTTCACTGTCAATGTTGAAGCTTAATTTTCCTGGGTATAGTATTCTTGGCTGGTATGCATTTTCTTTCAGAGCTTAGTGTGTATTATCCAAGACCACCTAGTTTTGGGGTTCCGAGTTGAGAAATCAGCTGAGATCCAGATTGGTTTCCCTCTAAATGTGATCTGACGTTTTTCTCTAGCAGCCTTTAAAATTCTATCCTTATTCTATATGTCAGGTATTTTCATAATAATGTGTTGGTGTGGGTCTTTTGTATATTTGAGGTCCTACGGGCTTCTAGTATTTGATTTTCCATTTCACTCTTTAAGTTTGGGAAATTTTCTGATATTGCATTTCATTGAAAAGACTGTGCATTTCTTTGGTTTGTATCTCCAAGCCTTCATCAATTCTACCACTGAGCCACAACCCCAGCCCAGTCAACTTTATTTTCAAGATTACATATTTTGTCTTCATTGCCTGAAAMTCTTTGTCTTCAAAGTGATCTAATCTGTTGGGGATACTTTCCATTGAATTTTTAATTTGTTTTACTGATTCCTTCATTTTGAGGATTTGTTTGATTTCTTTTCAGAATCTATCTCTTTATTGAAATGATCTTTCACAACCTGTATTTTCTCTGATTTCACTCCTCTTACAGCACCCTTTACCTTGCAGAGAAGTTTAACTATGTATATCCTAAACTCCTTCTCCGACATTTCTTCCATTGTGGTGTCGATGGAATTCTGTTATTGGAATACCTTGGTTTGTTTGGGCAATTTTTTCCTTGCTTTTTCATATTGTTTGTGTATCAAACCATCTAACGGTGGGGATCTGACGCAGTAAGTCTCTACCCTGTGGATTTAGTGTCCCTGAAGGTTTCTAGTACCTTATCAGTGAGAGGGAGACAAAACAACAACCAATGCAAACAATATACAGCATTAAACCAAACAATTCCTGCTATGACGTCTACAATGTTAATTGTCACATTAAATAGAAATTATATGGTAGTTATTGCCTAAAATAAAGACAGTAAGTTTGTAAAAGGGTTTTTACAGTTTCAAATAGTAGACAGGGAGAAAAAAATAAGTGATATAGAATATAGAATGTGATGATTATGAGGGAGGAAGAAAGAAGATAGAAGAAAAAACATTAAAGGAAGAACGAAAAGACAACAATAGGGATTGACTGTTAGCAGAAGAAAGAATTGAGTGAAACAGATGAGAGAAAAAAATATAAATATTTTAAAAATTAAAAATAAAAGAGTACAAAACAAAACTGAAACATACTAATCCTAACCTCAAAAAAAAAAAACATGAAAAATATGCTTCAAAAATGCTAGGGGGCTGGGATTATGGCTTAGCGGTAGAGTGCTCACAGAGCACGTTCGAGGCACTGGATTCAATCTTCAGCCCCACATAAAAATAAATAAATAAAATAAAGGTATTGTGCCCAACTATAACAAAAAAAAATTACAAAAAAAAAAGGCTAGGAATGAGAAAAAAACATGAATATGTATAAATGTTCATGAACCATTAAGGTAACAATTAAACAGAGAGGAAAAAAAAAACAAAAAAAATCCTGACGGAAAGTGAAAGAATTGTTTCCTTGGAGTTCAAAAGATTCTCAGCTTCTCTTTTCAGCAGCATTAGGTTGGGTAATCTGGAGCATGATGCTTCACCCTCCAGGTAGACTGTTGAAGTGAAAGAGGTAATCTGGAGGCAGAGTTTAGGCTTACRTATGCTCCAGGATCTTCGAGGAATGCCAATTGTTTTGGATTTTTTAAATCAGAGCAACTCCAGGGCCTAGCAATTGCCAGTCTACCCTGGAAGACTGCACCCCAGGGATCCCCCTATGTTCCACTCATTTGCCAAGTCTTAGTCCATTGCTTCTCTGCTTTCTTGGCTTCACGCCACAAAGCAGCCAAGAAAGCAACCTTCTCTATTCCACCATCTTGAAACCTCTCCGGGACACAATTGTTTAAAAATTAAAGTATACCTACACAACCACACCTTTTTCAGGAAGCTTGCAAAAGTTAAGATTAAAATATTAGGATCAGTTCTTTTTCTTGAGTCCTGAGGAAAGAGTGCATCTCCCTAGACCCACATTCTAGACTATCCTCAGGGTCAATAGAGTGAGTACCTAGCATATCATATGTTCAGGTGTGGAATGAATAATTTTGAATGTGAGCAAAAGCTCACAGGGACATTGGATGTTGCCCCTCATGCATTCATTTCCTGCTTTCTAAAAGCTCCTAATCTGTTTTAGACAGCTGAGAAAAAAACTGACCCAGGCCAGATCAAACAGATTCAACCTCATGACTACTCTTGGTGATAATGCTCAGACCAAATAATGCTTTCTTGCCCTAGACAGCATGCAGAACCTGTTTAAAAAAAAAAAAAAAAAAAAAAATCAGCCCACACATATAGAACTTCTAGGTCAGGGTTAGGGTTAGGGTTAGGGATAGGGATAGGCAAGGCCCTGGGTTCGATCCTCAGCACCACATAAAAATAAATAAATAAAATAAAGGTATTGTGTTCAACTACAACAAAAAATAAATACTAAAAACAATTTTTTAAAAAAACATGTAAATATAAATGCACACAAGATAATAATATAGGGATAATATACTCCCTATAAAAGATTTCCAGCTTATCTTTGAGCATAATGAACTGTAAAGCCGAAAGAATTGAAAAGAAATGAAATTAGAGCCCTGTTGACAWGAATCTTTCAGTCGATCCTTAACCAAACCTGCCTTATTTCTGGGCTTTTTCTACTACATGAGTTAACAATCTTTCTGTTTAATCCCATTTGGACAGGGTTTTTCTGTTAATTGTAACTGAAAGTATCCTAACTCACAAAAAGAGAACGTGAGCTAAGGTTGCAAAAGATGGAGGAATATAATTCAATGAATAAGTAGTAGTAATAAAATAAAATAAATTAGAATAAATTAGAATAAAACAAAAAGCCAAGAAAGAGAGATGGGGCAATGAAAATAGGTGAGAAGAGATAAGAGTCATCTGTCTTGGCTTCTCAACATGCTTACCTGTTCAACACTCCATTGGAAACTAGAGCTTCCTTAGGATGGAAATACTTGTAATATACATTTCTAACCACAGCATCTTGTAGGAAAGAGAGAAAAAGATGCATTTAAGATCAGAAATAAGTTTGATGTTATAGACTCATACAAATTTTGACCTGAAAGAACCTAGAACTCTGTTGCAATCCCTTGAATTTTATCAATGGAAGAAGCCTACGTAGGCCTAGAAAGCTGACTGCTGGTGAGCCCAGAATGCTGAACATATGACTTCAGCCCAGACCTTTTTCCACTGGACCAGTGGGCCTAGAGGACCCCACTACAAACAATAAATAGAAAATCACTGCCTCTATTAAGGATTAAATTAATAATAATCACCATTATTAACCATGATTCCATATTCTTCTAGTAGAAAATTAATGTTGGTGTCAAATCTGGTTTCTCCACCTTCTCCTAGCATCACAAGGATATCTCCACCATTGTCAAGGTACTTCTTCAGGACCTCAAACTACACAAAGAAAAAAAATCAATCTTTGAGTACACATACTCAAAAGACTTCTGACCAAAACATTTTTACTACAAGTAAAACTTTACTAAAAAATAAACACTTCAAACCTTTTATAAAACATGTAAATATAGGAGCTGGRGTTGTGGCTCAGTGGTAGAACAAAATTGCCTAGCATGTGCAAGGCCCTGGGTTCGATCCTCAGCACCGCATAAAAATAAATAAATAAAATAAAAGTATTGTATTCAACTACAACAAAAAATAAATACTAAAAACAAATTAAAAAAACATGTAAATATAAATGCACACAGGATAATAATATAGGGATAATATACTCCTTATAAAAGAGTTCCAGGCTTATCTTTGAACATAATGCTTCAAAATACTCAAATTGAATTGTCATTTTCAAAATTGACCATTAGGACAACAAAGCAAAAGTGTAAAACTATTAATTAAAAGAAATTCACAGATCTCCATTTAGTGCATCCCTAGTCTCCAACTACTAGATACAAGTTACACCTACTCTCCCAACAACTAAAAATGTCCCTAGACACTGCCAAATGTCCCATTAGAAGGAAAGAAGGAAAATTATCCCAGCTGAGAACCATAAATCTAGATCATACCTTCCCTTCACTGCCTGCCAAGAATATCAGGCTGAAGCCATTTCACACCTCATCAGGGAGGAATTTTGTTCAAGGTCATCAACTGACCAAACCACAGTGAGAAATTCAAGTTGTTGGCTTATCTCCTGGGAAGCTCTCTCACTCTCAAAAAGCTGAAGAGGCAAAAAAATCTGAAGTCGATCTTGCTGACCCATCCTGAGGAAACCTTGCAAGGGGAGGGTATCTAATCCAATAGTTTGAGACAGAGTCTTGCTAAGTTGCTGAGGCTGGCCTCAAACTTGCAATCCTCCTATCTGGGCCTCCCAAGTTGCTGGGGTTACAAAAATAAAGCTGGGCTCCCCAAAGTGCCCAGCTTTATTTTTTGAGAAAGGGTCTTATTAAGTTACTGAGGGCCTCAAACTTGCAATCCTACTGTTTCAGCCTCCTGAGTTCTGGGATTACGGGCATGTACCACCATACCTGGCAGAGACCAATAGCTTTTAATTTTCTTCACTAAATAGTCCACCAGGAAAGAACCTGGGCACTGTGGTGCTCACCTGTTATCCCAGCTATTTCAGAGGCTGAGGCAGGAGGAATGGAAGCTCAAAGCCATGCTCCTGTCTCAAAAACAAAAAGGGGTACAAATGTAACACAGTGGTAGAGCACCCTGGGTTCAATTCCCAATATCACAAAAGAAAAAAATATATAAATATGCACTCTAATATGCGTATATCTATATACATGTTTTGTTTTCTATATGCTCAGAACATAGTTTTTGCTTGGGGAACCATACTGGGACTTGGAACCTATGACTGTGTGGTTCTAGAATTTGTCTATGGTATCTAAATGCAGTGGGAAAACAGTTGGTATTGGTATCTTTTGTGTCCTACTTGCTGACTGGCATTTTGAGAAAGATAAATGAAAGACTTGGTATGTAAATAATGAGTTCCATCATGCAATGTGGAAGCAAATATGGTATATTTTATATAATTGACATTGTATGATCCAGGCCTATGGCTCTCAGCAGAGGCATTAAAACCATTTAGCAGGTACTTTGAATTGTCCTAACAGTGCTCAGACCAGTCCTCCTCATAGTGAAGAACTAACCCACAACATTTGAATGTCACATGGGTTTAAGGAAAAAAAACAACAACAAAACATAAACTGATCCTAGAATCTAACTCCAATTTATATATAAACAAAAAATATTTTTACAAACCAAATTCTCAGGTATACAACTATCATGTAAATTAAGGAAAGAAGTTTACTTTATTTTTCTCAGCAATTTACCAAGAATTAGACAATATTTTGGCAAATTACATCACAAGTGGCAATGTGGCTCATGATCTGAATTACCAATACAACACACCTGCATCAGCTCAGTTTTGTACCTGTCCTATTCATGGTGATTCTATGTATTTGTTTAGCCATTATTTAAAATGTCAAATATAAATAAGTGTTCTAGTGGACACATGCCCAAACATTCACAAACTGAAATAAGCATTCTTCTAGTGTATATATGCTGAAACATTTACAATACAAAACACATATATTCTTTCATAAATCATCTTCCTTTAATTTCTTTTTATTATAGTTAGGCTACTGTATTGACTTGTTTTAAATAGTAGTGGGTTATATTATCTATGCATTTCAATTTAGGATAGTATTTATAATCAGGATACAATGGTGAATCCTGTTCTTTTTCTTTTTCTTTTTTTTTTTTTGTGGTGTGGGGATTGAACAAAACAACCCTGTGCGTGTGAGGCAGGCACTCTACCAACTGAGCTATATCCCCAGCACTATGGATGTTGTTCTAACACGTTGGAAAATACTCAGCTGTCATGTGGTCACCTGGTGGTGGCCAAATACTATCACCAAGTGAGTTAGGGTAGTTGAGGTGGGAAATGGGGAAGACTCTTCAGCCTGGTTTCTAGCCTGACCAGACATAGATGTCTGTCCTGATACAAAAGCTTCTGAAGGACAATATCAAGGAAGTGCCACCCAATTACCCATTATTAGTTCTAGGAGGCCAGCAATGATCAGTAAAGAACTGATCCTTTCTCTTGAGGAAGATCCCTGCCACCACAGGGATCAGCCCTCTAGAAGAATAAAAACAGGGGATGTTGGTTCTCAGAAGTCAAAGGCTCTTCTCTTCTCTTCCTTTCCATCCCTCCTCACACTAGCTCCAAACAAAAGGTATGGTGCCAGCAATGGTCTGGCAAGAGGACATTTTATTAGGCTAAAGTTCCAAAGAACGGTATTTTCGTGGATTTGTCTCTGTGTCTTCTATTCTGTTCCATTGGTCTACATTTCTGTTTTGGTACCAATATCATGCCATGTTTGTTACTATAGCTCTGTAGTATAGTTTAAGGTCTGGTATAGTGATGCCTCCTGCTTTACTCTTCTTGTTAATGATTGCTTTAGCTATTCTGGGTCTCTTATTTTTCCAARTGAATTCCATGATTGCTTTATCTATTTCTATGAAGAATGCCAGTGGGATTTTAATAGGAATTGCATTAAAACTGTATAGAGCTTTTGGTAGTAAGGCCATTTTGACAATATTAATTCTGCCTATCCAGGAGTATGGAAGGTCTTTCCATCTTCTAAGGTCTTCTTTAATTTCTTTCTTTACTATTCTGTAATTTTCATTGTAGAGGTCTTTCACCTCTTTTGTTAGATTGATTCCCAAGTTTTTTTCTTTTTTTTGAGGTTATTGTGAATGGGGTAGTTTTTCTAATTTCTCTTTCAGTAGATTCATCCTGATACATAGGAATGCATTTGATTTATGGGTATTGATTTTATATCCTATTACTTTGCTGTATTCATTTATTAGTTCTAGAAGTTTTCTAATGGGATTTTTTGGATCTTCTAAACATAGAATCATGTCATCAGCAAACAGTGATAGTTTGAGTTCTTCTTTTCCTATTCATATCCCTTTAATTTCTTTCCCCTGTCTAATTATTCTGGCTAGAGTTTCAAGGACGATGTTGAATATAAGTGTGAAAGAGGGCATGCCTGACTTGTTCCAGTTTTTAAAGGGAATGCTTTCAATTTTTCTCCAATTAGAATGATATTGTACAACCAGAAGAATAAGAAATCATACCCCATTTATGTAAATGAGTGAAAAATGCATTCTACTGTACTGTATGACTAATCAGAACAACAACAAAAAAGTCAAGGCAAAGCAAAGAAAAAATAAATAAATAAAATTAAGTTAACATCTTTAAAAAAAGTTCCAAAGAACTAAATCTGCCTCTCGAGGATTCATGTCTTTTGGAAGCCTGAAGTAAGGCATGGCTTGGTGTCTGTCCCCACTTGGAAAAAGGCCCACTCACCAGGCTCTGATCCTCCTTCTGGACAGCATGCTTTCCTAAGACTGCCTCCTTTGAGGCAAGGACCTCTGGTTTCCTTAGCTACAGAAGGGAGGTGGCCCAACAAGTTATAAAGTATTCCTTCTTTGCAGGCTTTTGCCCTCTGTGATATATTTCCCTCAAGGTCTCAGTGGGTAGAGGCAGCTGGTTGCCTCCAATCTCAACAATAATTCCTATTCCTTCTCTCAATTAGCCTGATCAGTTATGTCTTCATGCTTCCAAAAGAGATGAATCTTTGAGAGGCAGACTTAGTTCTTAGAAACTTTTTTTTTAAGACATTAACCTATTTTTATTTATTTATTTTTTTCTTTTCCTTGCCTTGACTATTTTTGTTGTTCTAATTAGATGTACATTACAGTAGAATGCACTTTGACACATCTACATAAATGGAGTATAATTTCTTGTTCTTCTGGTTATACAACGTCATTCTAAATGGAGAAAAATTGAAAGCCCTCTAAAAAAAACAGTATTCTTATAAAAACTTGAGAAAATAGGTATTCTAGAAATGTACCCTTGCAAATCTCCTCCCACTGGCCCCACATAGAGTAACAGCAGGAGACCCCAGCCAGCCTCCACAGGAGAAGCCCTGCCTTGCCTCAACTTCCCTACTCCCCACACCCTCCACAAGCATCAGGGCACTTCCTACAAGTCTCTGTTAGAAAGGTACTTTATGTGTTCTGGGTTTTTAAGTTTTTATTAATTGTGGTAAAATACATCTAAATTTAACATCTTAACCATTTTTAAATGTTAAACACACTACCATTGTCATGTTACCAATCTCCAGACTCTTTTCAACTCTCAAAACTAAAACTTTAGAGCTAGGAATATAGCTYAGTTGGTAGAGTGTTTGCCTTGTATACACAAGGCCCTGGGTTCAATACCCAGCACCACAAAAAAAAAAACTAAAACTCTATACCTATTAACAATTCTTCATTTCTTCCAGGCCTGCAACCACCACTAATTTCTGGCTCTATGAATTCAACTACTCATGTAAGTGAAATCACATGATATATTTGGCTTTTTTTAATATTAATTTTTTAATTTTAGGTGGACACAATATCTTTATTTTACACTTAGGTGGTGCTGAGGATCGAACCCAGTGCCTCATGCATGCTAGACGAGTACTCTACCACTGAGATACAACCCCAGCCCCTGTCTTTTTTTTTTGCACTGGCCATTGAACCCAAGGGTGCTTTACTACTGAGCTACATCCCCAGTTCTTTTTTAAATTTTTTCTTTTGAGATAGGATCTCAGTAAGTTGTGAGGGCCTTACCAAATTGCTGAGGCTGGCCTCAAACTTGTGATCCTCCTGCCTCAGCCTCCTTAGTCTTAGGGGTTATAGGCAAGTGCCACAGCACCTGGCCAGTATTTGTCCTTTTATGACTACCTTAGTTCACTTGCCATAATGGCCTTAAAGTTCATCATGTTGTAGCATTTGTCAGAATTTCTCCCCACCCCTTTATTTGGTACTAGGAATAAAAGCCAGGCCCTTGCACATACATAATACCACAAAGCTATGCTCCAACTCCTTTCAAAGGTTGAATAATATTTCCAGCAGGTATATACCACATTTTGCTTATCTATTCATCTATAAACAGACACTTGGGCTATTTCCATCTTTCAGCTATGGTGAAAAGTGCTGCTATGAACATGAGTGCACAAATTACTCTTTGAGCTTTTGCTTTCAATTTTTTTTGGATGCATATCCAGAAATGAGACTGTGGAACTCAATTTTCTCAATTTTGAACATTCAAAAATCTCATTTTGGAAMTGCCATACTGTTTTTCATTAATAGTTTCACCATTTTATATTGCTACCAACAGTATAAAAGAGTTCCAATTTTTTCATATCCTCATCAACACAATTTTTAGCATGGGTTTTATATTTATCATTTTTTATCTAGTCCATACAACAGAATTGAGAAAGTTTAACTTTAAATGAAGTTTTACTATTTTCAAACAAAAATATGGCAAAGAAGTATGACTAATATTTGATTAGCCCTCTCTATGTGTTTGGCACTTTACATGGATTATCTCAGTTATCACCACAATTTCATGATGAAGTCAAAGATGAAGTGACCACCTTCAGGCAACACAGTAAGTGGAGAAGCAGGATGTAAGTCCAGGGTTTCAGAGCCCATTCTTCCTAACACCACGACATTTCTTCTTTATGGATACTTCTTACCTCAGCTGCAGTAAATTTTTCCCTTGGCCCAGCTGTAATCCATAGTTTCACTCCAATTAGCTTCTCAGATGTGATTTCATCTTTTAAACTGGAAACATGATTTTAAAAGTAAATGTTAGGTCCATAATTTAAACCAACTTATGAACTACTTTAGCATCTTGGCTGTATGGAACCAAGGCCACAGAAGTCAAGAGATGCAGGAGCTTAGAGGTACATCGAGCAGCCTCCCTCCCAAAGTGAGAATCCCCTCCTCAGCCTGCCAGAGTCATGCAGCCTCTGAAATACTTCCAATAAGCAAATGTGTTCAAATTAAACAATGCTAAGACATGAAGAAGTCCTCCAGCCAGGGGTGGTAGCACTGTAATCCCAGCAAATACCAAGGCAAAGGCAGAAGGATTGCAAGTTTATAAGTCCCAGACCAGCCTTGCCAACTTAACAAGGTCATGTCTCACAATAAAAAATTTAAAAGAGGTGAGGATGCAGCTCAGTGATAGCGTCAATTCACAGGACTGCACACACACATACACATGTACACACACGTACATACACACACACATTAAAAAAAAAGTCTTCCAACTACTAATTCACTCATCTCTTATCTCTTCCATCTATTAGTTTATATGACCGTTTAATACATTCATACTCATGAAGAATACATACACATGTTTATAGCAGAACAATTCACAACAGCTAAACTGTGCAACCAACCCAGATGCCCTTCAATAAATGAATGGATAAAGAAAATGTGGTATATATGCACAATGAAATATTATTCAGCATTAAAAGAGAATAACATCACGGCATTTGCAGGTAAATGGATAGAGTTGGAGAATATTATGCTAAGTGAAGTAAGCCAATCCCAAAAAACCAAATGCCAAATGTTTTCTCTGATATAAGGAGGCTGATTAATAATGGGGTTGTGGGGAAGCACGGGAGGAATAGACAAACGAACTCTAGATAGGGCAAAGAGAAGGGAGGAAAAGGGAGRGGGAATGGGGGTAGGAAAGACGGTAGAATGAGATGGACATCATTTCCCTAAGTACATGTATGAAAACATGAATGRCATGACTCTGTGTACAACCAAATATATGAAAAATTGAGTTCTATATGTGTAATATGAATTATAATGCATTCTGTTGTCATGTATAACAAATTAGAATTAAAAAATACATTCACAAATACACACACATAAAGACAGAGATGTTCTCATTTAATTCCCATTTTTCCTTTCCCTAAACTGAAGTATCAATTCAAGTTAAAATATGGAGAAAGGCTTCAACATCTCTCTCTCTCTCTCTTTTTTTTTTTAAAAGAGAGAGAGAGAGAGAGAGAATTTTTTTTTAATATTTATTTTTTAGTTCTCGGCGGACACAACATCTTTGTTGGTATGTGGTGCTGAGGATCGAACCCGGGCCGCACGCATGCCAGGCGAGCGCGCTACCGCTTGAGCCACATCCCCAGCCCTCTTTTTTTTTTTTTTTTTGGCAGTGCTGGGGATTGAACACAGGCCTCACTCATAAGCCCTTTATCACTGAGCTACATCCTAAACCAAACTTTTTTTCCCCCCCAGTGCCAGGGATCAAACCCAGGACCTCACACATGCCAGGCAAGCATTCTACCACCACTGAGCCACATCCCTAACCTTCAACATCTTATTATATGTATATAATAAGAAAATGTTTTGTTTTCGATTTTTAGGACAACTTAATAATATGGTAATTGGCAATTTTTTGAAAGATGTTTTAATAATAATTCATTTACTTTTGAATATATATGTATATATTCAAAATATACATATATATTTTGAGGGGAGGGATACTAGGGATTGAACCCAGAGGTACTTTACCACTGAGCTACATGCCCAGTTCTTTTTATTTTTTATTTATTTTTTTTAAGGCAGGGTCTCCTAAGTTGGTTAGAGGATCAAACTTGTGATCCTCGTGCCTCAGCCTCCTTAACCACTGGGATTATAGGCATGCCCCACCATGCCCAATCTTTTGAACAATCTTTAAATTGAGTTCTTTACACCTAACAATCTATCTTTCATAAGAAAATCAAGACTTTTCAGTTTCACCAGTAGACTAATATCACTTAGAAGCAAAAATAATGCACACAAGATTCAACTCACTTCTGAATCTTCCAATTACACCGAAGTCTTTTCTGCATGGATTTATAGCCATTGTTGGTGGTAAACACCTCCTTTTTGTATGCATTGAAAAGAATGGTGCTCCGAACCTCCTTATCCATGGTTACCTTATGGGAAAAAGACATCAGAAAAACAATAAACAATATTACAAAGAAAGACCCCAAAAGAAATAAATAATTGCCTTTCAGCTCTCTCTTAGCCTTTTTCCTCTCTCTTTTTTTTTTTTTTTGGCAGTGTTGGGGATTGAACCCAGGGCCTCACACATGCTAGACAAGTGCTCCAACAGTAAGCTACATCCCTAGCCTTTCATTTCTAATTTATCAAAGAAAGGTTTACAACTTCAACCTATCTAGGACACTCTTACAATTCTCAAAAGTTGAGAGTGAAATATAGAATTACAGCTACAGAAACCAAAGGCCAAACCAAACCCAGCTTATTTCCTGGCTTTTGCTTCCATGTTCTTACCCTGGCCCTCCAACAAGCCTACTTCCATCACTTTGCCCACCATGACCCTGCTCTTGTGGGCCTGAGACCACATTTCCAAATTGTTTTGTCACTGCTAACTGCTACTAGGGTGGAATATAGCCTTCTAAATATCTCTCCCTCTCTCTCTCCATATATACATATATTTTTTAACAATTTTATTTTACTAAATATGATCTGATCATACACACTATTGTCCAACACAGTTTTTCCAATTAACTTTGTATATTTGACATCCTTCCATGTCAATACATATAGATGTACCACATTCTGCTAAATAGCTATACAAATCCCATTTTKTGGATGTATCACAATATTTTTATGAATTATATGTTGATTGGCATCTGTCATTTTTTCCAAAAATTTTGCTAGTAAAATACTAAAGATACCCATTGTTTATTTTTTATTGTTTGGAATCACTCAGGGCCTTGTGCCTGCTAGGCAAGTACTCTACCATTGAGCTAAACCCCCAGCCCTAAAAACATAATTTTTGAACAAGATGTTTTTATAACTCTGTACATTTGTAGAATAAATTCCTATTTTTTGAATGGCTAAGTCAACATACAAATTGCCCTCCAAAAAACTGTAATCATTTGTACTTCCATTAACACTAATACATTTTTGTTTTCAGACAATCCTTTCTATTTCCAGTTTTTGTCAACTTTGCTGATAAAATACAGCATTCCCTTAGCCTTCATGGTTTTTCTTTCTCAGGTTTTGGCTACCAGAGGTCAACTGTGATCTGAAAACATGAAGTGAAAAATTCCAATTTGTAAGTTTTAAATTGTGAGCCACTGGGAGTGGCATGATGAAATATCACATCTCTCTCTCTGTTCTGCCCTGGATGGGAATCATCCCTTAGTCCAGTGTACCCATGCTTTACACAGTACCCACCTGTTGGGTCAATTAGAAGCTGCTTCAGGTATCAGACTGATAGTCTTGATACTGCAGTGCTTGTGTTCAAGTTACCTTTATGTACTAACCTAATGACACATATTTCTGCTTTTGCCACTGGTTATTTTCTGGCAAGGAACAAAAACCTAGGAAAAGGGATTAAACTTCTTTTGTCATTTTATGGTTTTTAAAGGGAGAGTGCAATGAAAGCTACAATTTCAGTTAACGGCTTATTGTGGTTGCATCCCTGGAGAGGGCAGCAGACCTGAGGGGCTGACCTATTAAAATTACTCGGAAATGAGCTTCCTTAAGGATGGGAAATGAGCTTCCTTAACACAACAATAATAACATTAAAACAATATCTGCCCAACTATTCTCTCACCTTCTTTTCAATAATCTTACTAGTCCAATCAGGACTTTCCCAGAAGAGTGATGAAGAGACCAAGGGTGGCAGCAATGAAAAGAGACCTACACCATACGTCTGCTCATCCAACGCTTTCACACTCAACAGGACGATTAAAAACCCAAGCAGTCTGAGGCGGTGGAGATTCGAGCCCAGTCCGAGGTCCAGGGCCCGGCCTATTTACGCGCGCTCGGTTCCTTTACCCCGGCCGACCTCCGATTTTCCTGAAGGCTGGCCCAGGAGCCTGTGGGCAGTCTGGCTAGGCCGCCGTTAGCCCCTAAGCCGCCCCATCACCCCGGCCGACCCCTTCCAGTCGGAGTCCTTCCTACCTGAGGCCCAGTGACCACCATCTTCACCTGACGTCGCCCAACATCCCGCGGACAGGTATCCAAGGCCGCCTAGCAACTGTGAAGGCGCGCCCGCGCGCGAGAAGGCGTGTCCCGGACGTGGAACTCTGCGTGGAGCGCAGCGACGTGATGACGACAGAACGGCAGCTGCGCATTTGCCGCGGGCCTCAGGCGCGGGCGGGACTAATGTGGGATTATACATGGGAGGAGAGGTAAATACAAACCCAACGAGGATTAACTTTTCGGCAAAAAGAAGTCCATTTCATTCTGTTCCTTAATAACAATTGCTATTAAAAACTAATAAGAATGGCACGTCCCAAGGACCTAGAGCTCGCCCCACTCCGAGGGCGCAAAATAGTGGAGGCGGCGGAGGAAGGCGGGTAGGAGCGCCCCAGCCTGGGTCCCCAGGGCGCAGGCGCAGAACGTCGGGGCCGGAAGGTGGGAGGGTGTGTCTGGAGTTCTGGTCGCCTGCTGCTGGAAGCCCCTCCCTGGCTGTGTAATKCCTGATGCGAGGATACTGAGAGGACAGGGACGAGTTCCTCGAAGAGGGTGGGCAGGAGTAACGGTGAGAGTAGTACCCCCAGATGTYCCCCTTTATTATCTGCACATCATTGAACACCACAGTACCAGCCCGGCCTGAGCGTCGGGGATATAGCGGTGACCTGCTGCCCTCTAGGCGTCCGCAGGCGGGGGGTTAGACCTTGGCAAGGTCCTAGCAAAATGTAAAAATATAAACTGTCTTAGGGAGCTGTGAGGGGCCCGAGCTGGTTAGAAAGGAGCCCTTCCTCAGCAGAGATCTGAAAGAAGAGGGGCAATCATTAAGTCAATGGGGAAAAGAGTTGTGGACAGAAGGAATTGCTTGTGCAAAAGAGCCATCACCACGTATAGGTTGCCCTGACATCGCCATGAAAATGGGAAGGGACGCCACAACTGCAAACCATCCACCCTTCTCTCCTGAGGAGCTCTCTGTGTCTGCCCTAATAGAGCTGTGCTCTTGTCTACAGGGCTGTGGCAGCCACCAGGCTGAAACAGATGAGTGCAGAGACATCTAACAGTTTTTGTTTACATTTATGTTTGTCTTCAATATATACAGAGTATTGGGAGTTTAGGGTATTAAAATACACACAACTTGAGTTGGTTTTTCACAACTACCAAGACAGCAGATTTAAAGAGGAAGAGGGTGAATGAGAGGTTTTTGTTTGTTTTGCTTTGTTTTCCCCCTGTGCAAGGAATGGAACCCAGGGCATCCACGTGCAAAAATGCCCTACCACTGAGCTGTATCTCCTGGACAAATTCTCTTACAGATGCTGCTCCTGGTGCACAGTTGGATGAATACAGTCTGCAGTTAGGGAGAAAAATGGAAGTCATGTAGTTGGATCCTTCTGATCCTTCTGCCTTTTGTGCAGTCAGTATTTGCTTGAAGACCAAGAGCACCTGTCCAAAAGCACTTCTCTCACTGTCATAGGTTTTTGAAATAACAAGGTTTTTTCAGTCACCTGCCGCCAAGTTCTGTTCCTGGCTGTGACTTGCACCAGATGGGTGCAAGAACTTGCTTAATCTCTGAGTGAATGTTTCCTACCTATAAAATGAGGTTAATAATTTCTAAATGCTGGCTTATAGTGAGAATTGTAAAACATATAAAACTTAGAATGTGCTCCGTAAACATAGGTGTAGCATGATCAATTCAGTAGCATAGTTTTTCTTCATTTTTATTTTCTGTCCTGGTGAAAATTTTTGTGACTTTACAATCTTGGATAGAACCACTCTCTTCACAATTCATAGCTGATTGTGTACTTTTAACAGTACTATCATGTCTGATAGTTACACTCTTGATTTTTGCTTTGATGAGTTGGGATTTTGTCCTCACATTCCAAATTTGGCAGTTAGCAAGCACTATTAAGATGGAAATCAGTTTATTTCAATATTCTCAGCACATGTCAAAACTTAACATCAGTTCTTCCTGACCCAGCTTTAGGTCAGTGTCCTTAGTGTTCTTTCCATACTCTCCCGGCCACCCCCATAATTCCTGGGGTAGGAGATTGAGGGAAACAAAATGGAAGGAAGAGAGTGGGACTGAGTTCAGAGGCAAAGGCAATAAAATTGCCAGCACATTGATCCTAAGAAACTTTCTCCCCTTGTCTCCAAACCAAAAAACTTAATAAAGCCACATGAAGTATATACTACAGGTTTGTGAAGAAAAAACAAAACAAAACACTTTTCTACCAAAATAAGGCAGTATAATTCATCCCATAAGAGCAGTCTTGAGGGCTGGAGATGTGGCTCAAGCGGTAGCGCGCTCGCCTGGCATGCGTGCGGCCCAGGTTCGATCCTCAGCACCATATACAAACAAAGATGTTGTGTCCGCCAAAAACTAAAAAATAAATATTAAAAAATTCTCTCTCTCCCCTCACACTCTCTCTTTAAAAAAATTAAATTAAAAAAAAAAGAGCAGTCTTGAATTCCTGAGGTTGTACATGTTCACATTCTGTCCAATATGAATTGCCTTTAGAAAGGACTAATTCTGAACATACAGAGCTGTATAAGTGACCAGGAAGCTCTGGTCACCAAGGCCTGGGCTGCCCATGTGAAGTGGGGCAGGGCATGAACTTGACAACCAAACTAAGACCATGAGTGGGAGTCCAGTTCACTGTCTCTTCCACAAGACCTCTTTTTCTCACCACCTGGCTTATTCTAGCCAATTCTTACTTTGGCTCTCATTACAGATTTTGATGGTCATTCTGCTTGGACCTAACAGTCTGAGTGAAGGGCAAACTCACACAGAGGTTAAAGGTGAGAGCCCTGGAGCCAGGTTATGTGGCTCTAAATCCCAGATCTAGCCTTTATTAGTGGCCTAGCCTTCAAGCAAGAAGTTACTTCTCCAACTCTGTTTCTCAATTGGCAAAAAATAAAATCGTAATAATTCCTTCTTATGGTTATTTGGAAGAAAATTACTAATGGGCAATGAAGAGTCTAACAGAAACTCGCTCAGCGCAGACAGCCATTCTGAAGCTGACTTTGCCCAGTTAAGCCAAAAAAAAAAAAAGAGTGTTAAAAGGCTCAGAAGCTTAGTCTGAGGCAGAAGGGTTGCAAGTTTGCAACTTAGCAAGACCCTATCTCAAAATTTTAAAAAGGGCTGAGGATGTAGCTTAATGGTAGAGCACCCCTGGGCTCAATCCCCTAGACCTGCCCCCCAATTTTTATGTTATTATTTATATTGGTGGTACTGAGGAATGAACCCAGAAGTGCTCTATCACTGAGCTRTATCCCCAGCCCTTTACTTTCCATATTTTTTATTAGTGCATTATCGTTGTACGTAACGGTGAGTTAGATGCTCTTTAAGTCCTTGGCACAGCTTGAGAATGGGACTTGAGGCTTCCGGGAATGACAGATGCTGCAGCACTGGGCTGATGAGGAAACTGCTCCAGTTGCTGCTGCTGAGGACTCATTACTAGTACAATTTGTACTGTTGCCACCTCTACACCAGGAACCTAGTTTTGTGGGTACCATTACCACAGCTGCCACCTGAAAGAGAGCTTCTGATCCCTTTTTGGTTCAAAGCATGGCATGGGTGTATTGCTGGGTCACATTCCTGGCCCTAGCTCAGGGGAAAGTCAATATATGGCATCTTGAGTGGAGATAGGGAGACTCATCGAGGCTCATAAGGAATTCCCTGTCTATTACAAGGGGCTTAGATGCCAGGCAGCCAAACTCAATAATAGCAAAGAGTACACATCCAGTACACTACCCACAACAAAGAAAGAAACTATCAACACAGAATAAGAGAGATTGGGTAGTACCTTCTAGGCTTGTTACAGCTCTTTTTATGCACTAAGAGGCCTTCTGGTAAAGAATGCCAGTTGCCCACCCAATATTCTCCACATCTCCCTTAGCATTAGAGCTCTTTGCTATTAAGGGTCTTCGTGTACCCAGGCTCCATTACAGCAGTAAAGGATGGTTAATGAGATATCAGCACAAGTCATTGGATGGAGCTTCTGGGAAAACACTTTTTGGGGGCAGGGTACTGGGGATCAAACCCACATCCCCAGTTCCCCAGTCCTTTTTTTTTTTTTTTTAATCTTTTATTTTGAGACAAGTTCTGGCTACATTGCTGATGGTCTTGCTAAATTGCTGAGGCTGGCTCAAATTGCAATCTGCCTGCCTCAGCCTCCTGTGTCACTGGGATTATAAGCATGTACACTGCATCAGCTGGGAAAGCACTTTGATGTTCCCTCTCATCTTTTCCTCCTTTTGCCTGTCCAGGACACAAAAGTGGAGACGAGAGAACCAGTAACCATCTTGTGATAACATATCAACTCTACTATCAGAAGCCATTTGTCAAGAGACCCAATAGAAATACGGAAAGCCTCTGAGTATCTAATGACCTGTCCTACCAGCCCAGGTCACCTAACAATGTCCTCTCTGATGGGGAAAAAAATGACYCTACTTCTTGTTCAATCCATCAAACTTATTACATTACTTTGAGTCTTACTAGCAGCTGAAAGTAATTCCTCCTATTACCAGCTGGCCTCAGAGGCTTCACAAGTGCTTCTCCTAGCAGTCCAAGAAGTCATCATCCTCAGGGGCATAGGAAAATCCCAGGAATGCACTTGAGGCCCCTGAGCTGCTAGCCATAGTATCAGGGGTGCAGCCAATAGACTTGGAGACTGCTTCTTGGGTGAACTCTGGGTCAAAGTGTTTCAAGTCAGCAGGTCCTGCCTGTCAACAGAAGCCAATGATGAGGAGAGGGCACTGGGATCAGAGCTGCCAAAGGAACCAAAAGCCCAGGAGAGGGATGCCAAGCCTCCCCTCAGTACCTCTTGGCRATCCACACTTAACTGTCACTTTCCCATGCATCTCCATTAATCATCTTATTCCACGTGGCTGATTTCTCTTACCCCCAGGCACCTTGCCTGCTCTACACCAATCCTCAGACAAGTCTGTCAGTCAACCTATATTCACTGAATGCTTGCCAGGCATTGTTTATGATACTGGAAATATGGGAGAACAAAATAGAGTGAGCCTCTGCTTATAGGAGCTTGCAGTATGTGGAGGGTAGGAGGATTGAACAAAGCATTTATATAAGTAGAACGTTCAGGGTCCCAGATGGAGGAGATAAAAGAGGGTAATATGGTAGAGAGGGACTGGGGCTGCTCTAACTATTTTGCAGGAAGAGCCATTTGAGTAATTGTAAAAATGATCACAAATTCTCCATTTACCATCCAGAGGTGGAGGTTCTCTATCTGTTAAATATGGGTTAGCCACGTGACTTGCTCATGCCAATGGAACACTGACAAATGATTCGAGTGGAGGCTTGAAAAAATGTACCTTGGGAATCAAGGTGAGAGGCTGCAGGAAGGAGAACCCAGGTGCTCTGGCAGCCTGCCAACTCCCAGACACACGAGGCAGTTCTAGATCAATTGACTGCTGACCACAGATATGAGAGAGCTCTACAGAGAACAACTGGCCTGGCCTAGATTTAAAAAACACTAGCCAACCCATGGAATATGAACAAGAAAAAATATTGTTGTTTAGGACTGGGGGTATAGCTCAGTGGTAGAGCACTTTCTTGGTATGTGTGAGGCCCTGGATTCAGTCTCCAGCACCCCATAAGAAAAGATTATTATTTGAAGACACCTACTTTGGGAGTGACTTGTTATGCAGTTAGAACTAACAAATACAGTCTTTCTGCAGAGGTGACCCAGTCAGAGAAGATAACACCCTCTGATGTTATGAAGTAAACAGGTGAGCAAGTGGAGGGGTCTGCAGATCTACTTTCACGTATAAGTCTTGGRCTCTGCAAACAAACATGCCATAACTTCCAACTTCTCAAAAAGGTCACAGGCCATGTGCAGTGGCACATACCTATAATCCCAGCTACTTGGGAGGCTGAGGCAGGGAATCACAAGTTCAAGGGCAGCCTGGGCAAATTAGCAAGACCCTGTCTCAAAAAGGGTTGGGAGGTACTGGGGTTGTGACTCAGTGGTAAAGCGCTTGCCTTGCACATGTGAGGCACTGAGTTCAATCCTCAGCACCACATAAAAATAAATAAAGGTATTGTGCTCATCTACAACTAAAAAAAAAATTTTTTTTTTAAGGATTGGGAATGTAGCTCAGTGGTAGAGTGCCCTTGGGCTCAATCCCCAGTACAAAAAAAAAAAGAAAGAAAGAAAGAAAGAAAAGCCATAGGGTTCAGAGCTCCAAGACCAGAATGTGGATCCTAGCTCTGGCCCTTGTTAGCCTTGAAGCCCAAGACAAGCAGATATTTTCCGTTTTTCACAAATGAAGAATTTGATGCTAAAGAAAATTCTTCAAGGTCTCACGAGTGGTAGGTAGCAGAACCAGGAATCCAYTTCCAGTACGTCTCACTCTGATGTCCCTGTATTGCTACATCATTTTGCATTCCTTTCTAGAATTCTGTGTGTCGTTCTCTAAGGTATATGTGTGATATCATCCTTACTGTTAAAATCCCAAGGAAAGAGTGCTGGAGGTTAGCAAAGGACTCTGGTAGAGARCATGGCTAGCTTGTGTGAGGCCCTGGATTGAACCCCAGCACCACAAAGTTAGAAAAATCCAAAGGGGAAAAGAAAAAAAAAAAAAAACTTTTCAAGTGCTGAACTGAATGTATCCTATATGACAACCATTGTTAAGAATCTGGTGCTCGAAGACACATTCATGAACAGGTACCAAAGAGAAAATGTAAATAATGAACTAACATTGGCTGTATTCAGTATGCAGCCTGGTAGAGAAAGTGGGACCCTGTGCTGCATAGGTGATGTATAGAACCTCCCTCATCCACCTCRAACACAGCTCCTTTCAGTCATGGGACCACCATAAATTACATTTAAAYGCTCGACACCTCCACTGTGGATCAAAGAAACATGTTTAAAACACTAAGAGATGCCATTTTTTATCAGATTTGCAAAGTGAAAAAGAGTTWAGAACAGCATGCTGCAGAGGGTGAGGAAGATGAAAACCCACCAGAAGACAGAACAGGAGGAAGAAGATAGTTCTCCCTTGTGCGTGGTGAATAGGCAAGTGCAAACCAAGGGCCTGGAAACGGTGGTGGTCTTTGACTGCGCAGTTACCCTTCTGAAACCCACCTTCAGAAAATAACCAGAATTCTGGGCAAAGATACATACTTAGAAGATGTTCATCAGCACATTATGAAAGAAAAAAATGATGTTATAGTTTGGATGTACAGTGTCCCTCAAAAGCTCTCATGTGAGACAATACAAGAAGGTTCCAAGAATAAATGATTGGGTTACCAGAACCTTAACCCAGTCAGTGACTTCATCACATGATGGGATCAATTGAATAGTAACTGAAGGCTGGTAGGGTGTGGCTGGAGGAGGTGGGGCATTGGGGGCGAGGCTTGGGGGATGCAYTTGGATCTGGCAAGTGGTGTCTCCCTGCTTTCTGATCATCATGTGAGCTGCTTCCCTCCACTACACTCTTCTGCCATATGATGCTCTGCCTCACCTTGAGCCCCAAGGAATGGAGCCTGCTGTCTGTGGATTGAGACCTCTGAAACCACAATTCCCCAAATAAACTTTTCCTCCTCTAAAGTTGTTCTGGTTSGGTCTTTTAGTCACAGCAGTGAAAAGCTGACTAAAATGAATGGTAATGGCCTAAAGTTCACCATGTGGAGCACAGCTGAGTAAGTTCCTCCCTCACCCCGCCACCCCTTGGATTTTTAAAAAATATTTATTTAGTTGTAAATGAATAAACAGTATCTTTATTTACTTTTATGTGGTGCTGAGGATTGAACCCAGTGCCTCACGCATGCTAGGTGAGTGCTCTACCTCTGAGCCACAACTTCAGCCCCAAGTAAGTCTGGTTATTAACATAGGATGGAAATATTATGCAGCCATTAAAAATGATGTTTATATAAAGTTTTATATTATGTGGAAAAAAATAATAGCATAGCCTATAAGCAATAAAAAGGGAAAAGATATACACACACTTGTATATAGTCAGGCCTCTACATTCATGGGAATCCTTAGCCATGGATTTAAACAACTGAAGATTAAAAATATTTTGGGGGAAAAACTATTGGTACTGAATATGTACAGACTTATTTCCTAAATAATATAGCATAACAAATATTTTCATAGAAATTACATTGTAAGAGAAATTATAAGTAATCTAGAGATGAATTAAAGTACATAAGAGGCCATGCATAGGTCATATGTAAATACTATGCTATTTAAATAAGGAACTTGAGCATCCCACAGGGGCAACTGTGAGTAGAGAGAGAGACAGACCAATACATATACACACACACACAAAAAAAATGTGTGATTTAACTATGTGGGAAAAACACACACACACACACACACACACACACACACACACACACAAAGGCTGGAAGTCCCTGAGTGGTGAGATACAAAGCATTTCCTCCCTGCTATTTTGAATTTCTCTGCTCTCCATACTTTCCACAAGAAATATAGGCCGTTTTTATTATCAGGGAAATGTCTAAAGACATCTCCATAGGGTGTGGCTCTGCCTGGGTATGCAGTGTGACACAGACAGCTTACAAACTGGAAAGGGCCCTGCCATGAGGGTTATTGGTCCTGAAGATGCAGCAGTGTGGCTTCTGCCTCAGAGCTGAGCTTGCAGACCGGACTTGGAAGTGCCTGAAAGGGTTCTGCCTCTAATTTTAGCATGTGACTCGGATAAATCATTGAACCTTTTGGRCACTCAATGTCTCCGTTGGCATAAAGAGAGTTGGGTAATTGCAGTGGCTAGGGAGGCTGAGGCAGGAGGATCACAAGTTTCAGACCAGCCTYTGCAATTTGGTGAGGCCCTAAGCAACTTAGCAAGACCCTGCCTTAAAATATAAAAATAAAAAGACTAGGGATGTGGTAAATTACCTCTGGGATCAATCCCTGGTACCAAATGAAAGAGAGAGGGAAGGAGGGAGGGAGTTGGGGGGCAGATACTCTCCAAACTGAYCAGTGCTGGGAATCCAAAATCTAGAATACTGTGACCTCTTACCACATTTGGGTTGAAGGGCGGAGTCAGCCTCTTGTGGTACAAGTCATCCCAGTTTATGGGACTGAAGAATACATGGTTCTTTATCTCCAGCTGCAAAACGAAGGTTCTGATCAGAAATAGCTCTCCCCTCCCCCACCCCCACATCCTCCCAACTCTATAGCAACTGGCTTTTAACTGCACAGTCCTTGAAGTTCTGGCTGGTTTCCTGGGTGTTCTGCAGCCTGGCTGTGGCCTCGCCCCGCCCCCCCATCATCCAAAACCCCCCATTAAAGTACATCCGCAACTGGATACCTCTCTAAATACTTACACCATTCTAGGGTCTGAAYGGAATGTCAAGGAATGAGAACTGGTTCCGGGAGGTGGGGGGGGGTGAGAAAGTGAGCAGGGAGTTGGGGATCCACCCCTGATGCATCAGTACATCTTGAGACTTCCCRGAATGCAATCCAGAGGAAGGTTTGAGAAATAAAGCCCCAAGAAAAGCCACAAATTCCCAGAGACCCAGAAGTGAGGACTCAGCCCTAGGCATGCTTCACCACCTCTTTCCTTATCAAAATCAACACTGGGCCAATGTGGTGGCACACGCCTGTAATCCCCAGAGACTGGGGAGGTTGAGGCAGGAAGATCACAAGTTCCAGGCCAGCCTCAGCAAGTTAGTGAGACCCTCAGCAATGTAGCAAGTCCCTGTCTCAAAATAAAATGTAATAAGGACTAGGGGAGGAGCTCACTAGTAAAGTACCCCGGGTTCAATCCCCAGCAGCAAAAAGAAAAAGATCAAACAGAAAACACATTGGCACCAACTTTCCTCCCAGCAGGATCCGTATTCTAACGCTGTTTCTCAAAGAATGATTCTCCAGTCCCCTGTATCAGGACTGCCCTCTGAGCTAGTTAAAAAGCCAGACTCAAAATCTCCAGAAGAATACCCAAGAAATTAGTAATTTGTGCTTCCTCTAAACTGAGGTAGGTACTAGGTAGACAGAAGGACTTTTTCTGGATACCATTTTGTAGATTTTGAGTTTTAATCTGTGTGAATGAATAATTTATCTTAAAAATTACACAGAAATTTGAAGATGCAAACTTCCCCTTGGGAATTTCTGGGCAAAGAAGCTTCCAGTTCTTTAAGCGGGGCAAGGAAAGGTAGGCAAATGCCCCAGAAGTTACACTTCACTGGCTCTGGCACATCGAGCTTTGGTGTGAACACTTRGAAGCCTTTTCCTCCCATTATTGTCCACCTGTGCATATCATTTCCTTCCTTACATTTGTGATAATTACATATAATCTTTGCTTTTATTTTTGTTTTGTTGTCAGCCTCCTTTACACCCCCCCCCACTTAATAAGGGCAGAGACCTAGACTGTTAAATTTTTAGCACCTAGCTCAATGTCTGGCACGTAGTAGGTGCTCAGTAAACATTGGTTTACTAAAGGAACTGGATTAAAGAAAGTAGACAGCTGGTAGCTGTAGTGAATTTCCAATGGAGGTGTTAGCAGGCTGATTTTAGAGGGGAGCAGGAAGCGTGGTGATGTACCACTGAGCTGCCTCTTCAGGGAGTTGAGAGCCCCCAAAGAGGCCTATGCTGTAGCTGGCAGGTCACCTACAAAGTCTGCCTTGGAGCCCAGCCTCTGCCTCTGGTCTTTGTGGAGAAGGCCTTGCAGGAGGTCGCAGGCAGCCACTGTCCGGCCTCCAGGAATCTGTAGTGGCTGGTGCAGAATGTTCTCATACATCTGGGACACGTCTTGGCTGTAGAAGGGTGGCTGGTAAGAGAGGGAGAAGCTGGAGATCACCCATGYGAACGTGGAAATGGGTCTCAGGGAACCAGAGCAACCAGGTTGCCAGGAGGACCCATGGCGTCCTGTGCAATGGCCCACATGGCAGATGTGGAAAGACAGGACCTCTAGGCACCCATCACAGGCGACAGTCAGGGCTGCTGAGAAGGTCACAARGCTCTTCCCACCTGTGAGAGGTTCATGGACCTCCCAGGGGCATCTCCCATCCCAGCTCTGCTAATCCAGCTATGCACCAAGCTTACACCTGGACCTTCRTCACTTCCTGCCAGCTCACAACCATCCTCTGAGGCTCTGGTTTTTCGGATGAGAAGACAAAGTTCAGAGCAATAAACCACATAGCTAGGAAGACAGTGAGGCCCCAAACCCTACTCGGGGTCCACTTCTCTTCCTTGCCGCTCTTCCTCCTGTTCCTCTCCCAGCTGGTCTTTCTCCTGACCCCCACAGCTTCCTGCTTGACCATGCTGTGCTGGTGAACCCCCCGCTCCACACAGGTGGAGACCTACCCAGGCAGTTAAGCTGGGTTCACAATCTTTCCAGAAGGACTGTGACCTCTTTGGCCTCAGTTTCACACTTAGTAAAATAAGAACAACTCTGTGCTCTATAGTACCAKGCTCCCAGACTGTATCGACGTGGCCAAGGTAAGTTGGTGTGTAATAAACTGTAAAGTGCTGAACTAACATTATTGAAAAAAATAGATTGAATCTTTATATTCACTTTGGCATCACCGTTTTTCATCTGGGGTGAGAGAYGGTTCATTTAGTTCCCTGAACACAGCTTGAGCAAGCCCATGAAGGAGAGACTCCCCCTCAGCTCTCCCCAGAGACACATGTCCTCTGTAKACAGGGGCTCCCCACTCACCAGGCCATGCAGCATCTCGTAGAGGACTGCTCCTAAGCACCACCAGTCCACCGCCCGATCGTAAGGCTCCTTACGAAGCACTTCAGGAGCCAAGTACTGTTGGGGAAACACACTTATTTAAAAGATGTTCATGATGTGGGGAAAAAGGAACCCTTTTACACTGTTGGTAGGATTGTAAAGTAGTCCAACCACTATGGGAATCAGTGTGGAAACACCTCAGAAGACTAGGCATGGAACCACCATATGAGCCAGCTACACCACTCCTCCATATTTAGCCTTTAGTATTAAAGTCAGGGCTGGGGATATAGCTCAGTTGGTAGAGTGCCTTCATTGCATGCACAAGGCCCTGGGTTCAATCCCCAGCACCACAAAGAAAAAAAAAAAAAAAAGAATTAAAGTCAGCATACTGCCAGACACAGTGGCACATACCTATCTGTAATCCCAGCACTCTGGAGGCTGAGGCAGGAGGATTGCAAGTTCCAGGCCAGCCTCAGCAACTTAATGAGGCCCTAAGCAACTTAAAATAAAAAGGACTGGGATGTAATTCAGTAGTAAAGCACCCCTGGGTTCAATCCCCAGTACCAAAAGTAAATAAATAAATAAATAAATAAATAAATACTGTATGCTGTAGAGATCCATGCATACCCATGCTTATAGCAGCACAATTCACAATAGCCAAACTGTGGAACCAGCTTGGGTGCCCATCAACAGAGGAATGAATAAAGAAAATGTGATATGTATATATGCAATAGAGTCTTATTCAGTCATAAATAAAATGAAATTATGTCATTTGCAATAAAATGGATAGAGCTTGAGACCATCATGTTAAATGAAATAATTCCTACTCAGAAGGTCAGGGTTGCATATTTTCTCTCATATGTGGAAACTAAAGAGGAAAAAGGAAAAGAAAGGTGGCAGGTGATCCCATGAAGAGCAAAGGGATATCAGTAGAATAGGGGGAAGGGACCGGGAAGTGGGAGAAAGGAAGGAAGGGGAAGTGCTGGGTTCGATGTTGGCCAAATTATATTGTTATACTGTGTGCCTATGCTAATTAACAACAAATCTCATCATTACAGACAACTAAAATGCACCAAAAAAATGTAGATAAGAAAAGATGCCCAGCCTCAGTGTCTCCATCTGTAAGCAAAGCACTTAGAGGAGAAGGTGAGCAGGGGTGGAGCTTGCTGTGATATTCACGGGGTGTGCCCATGTTCATGTGGCATCCATTCACCAAAGGCCTGGGTAGTGCAGGGACCTGTGCCATGTGCTGGGGACAGAGAGATCAAGCAAGACTGCCCTGCACAGCTGCATAGCTGTGCACCGCATGGCAGTTTTACCAGCCAAAGATGTGGACAGGGGCTGCAATCCTGGCCATGGTCTACTCACCAAGCCATAACACTAGTTCAGAAGTTTATCTGGCAACTTTATTTTTGCTTCAGGGGTGCCTTTTCTACTTAGCCGGCCCAGAGCAGGTGCCTTCTAATTTGCACAGAGGTATTTAATGAGCTATTGGTGTCCCAGGGAGTACTCAAGGGGTGGGGAGAATAATGGACAAAGTCTAAGCCATGTTGCACACACTTGGACTGGAAACCTGAGTGGCAGAGAAGAGGTCAGGAAAGAGGTGGCACTTCGGAGTGCTTGCCATGCATCTGTGCCTGGCATAAAGAGAGAATCCAGGCTGTACCTTCTACTAAACYCCAGAGCTTGGTGACCTCTTAACCTGGGATCTATGCTAATGATGAGAGTGATCTCAGCATCATGCCAAGCTACCCTGAGAGACTGTGTGGGTCAGCAGAAGGGCAGAGAGTCACACAGACCTGAGACCTCCTTGGTGTGGTCTCAGATGGGTCATTTAACCTCTCAGAACTTTGTTTTCCTCATCCATAAAAGGGGATGCAGAGGGCTGGGGTTGTGGCTCAGTGGTAGAGCACTTGCCTAGCATGCATGAGGCACTGGGTTCAATCCCCAGCACCACATAAAAAATGGGAAAAAAAAAGGTATTGTGACCATATACAATTAAAAATATATTGAAAAAAAAGGGGGGGGATGCAGAATCCCTCCTGGTGGCAGGTTTAAGGCTACCTACAGGCCCTTGAACAATGGGAGCAACAGTGGTTACTCTTGTCTGTACTCTCTGAAACCACAATGGTGGCGGAGTTGTGGAAGAAGGGATGTGTTGGGGCCATATGTCTCCTACAGGAATCAGGGTTCCACATCCCCCAGCAGTGACCAGCTGCCAGCTCCCGGCCATGTCCAGGGACTGGATGGCTTAGCTATCAAGCTTTGGAGGGCAAGCGTTATTCAGGGAACACTTTCCATGCACAAACATAAACAATAGCTCCTGCTCAGAGAGGGCATCTGTGCCAGACCAAGGAGGTTCACCTGAGATTTGAGGCCCAGGTTTCCAAGCAAATGGGGTAGACCAGAGCAGCTCAAGTCTTGGCCCACTTCAGGTCAGGAGGAGCTGCCCAGCTTTGCAGCCTCAGTCCTGATGCCTGTCCAAGCCACTGGGGTCTCCTTCAAGTCCAAGGTCCAAAGTCCCAGGTCCAAGGTCCAAAGTCCAAGGTCCAAGACTGGTGGAAGTTCAAGGAAAGTTCTCAACCCCACAGCTGCAGGGAGACCTGGGCCTCCTGTGTGTGGAGAGGTGGGTGAAATTACTGCTGCAACCCACAACTTTTAACCCTCCAGGCTCTCATTGGCCGGAGATGGAGGTGGATCTGCGTCTGACTCTTGTGAGCCTTGATCTTAACTCTTAGGCCAGGCCACCTGTGGCACGTGGACTTTGCCCCATGAAGCAGGGCCGTTCAGTACAGCAGCCGCTAGCCATGTGTGGCTACTGGACAGTTGAAATGTGGCTAATCCAAATCAGATGTGTGACAATGTAAAACAAATGCTTGATCTCAAAGCCTTAGAAACATGAACTGTTCAATAATTTTTATATTTATTGTATGTTGAAATGAGGATATTTGGGATATAGTAGGTTAAATAAAATATAGTTAAAATTAATTTCAATGTTCCTGGGGATTTTTTGTTGGTGGGGCTTTGTTTTGTTTGTACTAGGGATTTAACCCAGGGTCACTTTACCACTGAGCTACTTCCCCACTACTTTTTATTTATTTATTTTTAATTTTGAGACAGGATCTCATTAATTTTGCTTAGGACTTCGCTAAGTTGCTGAGGCTGGCCTCAAACTTGAAATCCTTCTGCCTCAGCCTTCTGAGTCACTGGGATTACAGGTATGTACCACCATGCCAGGCTTATTTTTGTTTTTGAGATGGGGCCGCACTATGTTGCCCAGGCTGGGCTTGAACTTGTGACCACCCAGCCTCAGCCTCCCAAGTAGCAGGGATCACAGACACACACTATTGTGCTTGGGGCTCACCTGTTTCTTTTTATTTTGTTTTATTTTTGCAGTGCTGGAATTGATCCCAGGGCCTCACACATGTTGGTCAAGGACTATACCACTGAGCTTCACCCTCAGCCTTGTCATTTGACTTTTTAAGTGTAGCTGCAGGGAAGTTTTAAATTGTGTACGTGGTTTGAATTTTATTTCCTTTGGAGAGCACTGCCACAGAGCGGCACCAGAGCTGGCTGGGGCCTATTCCAGCATCTCTCACGACACAGAGGAGGAAACCAAGGCTCTGCACACATCTGGCTGGGGGGGAGGGGAGCCTGGGGGGATGGCAGGAGCCCCTCAGCTGTAACTTGATGGCTCTACTCAGGAGCTGTGGCCTTGGCCATTCATGGCCTGCCCTCTCCTAGGACATGCACACTTACCTCGGGGGTGCCACAGAATGTGGATGTGGTGTCCTCGGGCTCCACACCTTCCTTACAAAGGCCGAAGTCTGTCAGCACCACGTGTCCCTGAGGATGAGGGATGGGAGGGTGGTCTAAGCTGAGGGAGGTCCGGGCCTAACCCCAAAGCCCAGATGCCACCGAGCAGGCCGTGGCTGTGGGTCTGAGGCCCAGACACAGGCTGGAGGCTCCACTCTGACCCAGGGCTTGGAGAGTACCATGGGCACAGGGGGGGACATGGCATTCTACTGTCTTCCTAGTTCATCGTGGACTCAGCCCCAGACCCACGACAATGAAAGCTCCAGGGTGTCCTGGCTGGACAGCAGCCCCGTGAGAGGGACCTGTGACAGCTGGGTGGGAGGGTGGAGTGGGTGGGTACTGCGACTGCCCAGATCTCCCCGGCTGAAGCTGCCACCCCCACAGCTGGGACCTGCCTCTTCCCCCCAGAGACATTCATATCCAGTGATAGGTTGAGGCAGGGCACTAAAGTCCAGCCTCTGGGCTTCGACAATCCTTACGATCCATCCCAGCCTGGGTCCCCATCCCTCTGAAATCAGCTGAGGCCTTGCTTGCAGCCACCATGCAGGTGAGCTTTTCCTCTGCCCAGTCCTGTCTTCTTCACCCCTTAAACCTGTATCTCCCCATGAACCTTCTGGCAGACTGCCCTCCTGATCCAAGACAAGGAAGGACCATAAAATCCACCAGCCCTCCTGTCTCACAGACCTTGTGTACACATGTGTACACACACACATGCACACATAGTGTATATATATACACGTGTACATATGTGTGGGCACCCATGCACATGCGTACAGAGGTGCACCCTCTCCCCGTGTGCATGCATGTGCAATACACACACAGAGACACACAGAGTGCTCACATGTGCACGCGCACACACACACACACACCAACCTCGCAATCCAAGAGAATGTTCTCCGGTTTTAGGTCCCTGCAGAAAATAAGAGAAAATAGCCTGGAGGAGTCTTGGCTATATAATGACAGAGTTGGGGACCCTGGGTCCTGGCAGGAGGACTATTCACACAGGCTCCCAGGGTGTAGAGGGAAAGCCCAGGGAGGCTGGGCACTTGGCTCCAGGGAGGAGGACACCCAGCCCTTGTCCTCTGGGATCTCATTGGAGTTTAGAGGTCCATATACCCCCTGGCTGTTGGGACAGGAAGGGCCTGGGCCTGGCTCTGAGCCACAGGCCGTCCTCACCTGTAAATGATGTTGAGGGAGTGCAGGTAGCCGATGGCGCTGGCCACCTCAGCAGTATAGAATCTGGCCCGGGGCTCCAGGAACCTACGCTCCCGCTGCAGGTGGAAGAAGAGCTGAGGAGAAGGAGGTGTGTGAGGGGGATCCTGGTTCCACTTCTAGGGCACGGTCACCCCACCTGAGCTGCAGGCCAGTTCCTTCCCACAGGGTAGTCACCATGTCCAAAGTGACCATGGAAGGAGAGATTTCCCAGCATTGATTAAGCACAGGCTCCAAGTCGGGCCCTTCACATCTTATCTCATTTAATCCTCATGACAACAGCCAAGGTACCCATGTGATGCCAGTTTCACGTAAGAGGAAAACGGGAGGAGTCAGAACAGTTAGGGGACTTGCTCAAGGTCATGTAGCTCATAATTGGCAGAGCTGGAATTTGAAACTGGGTGGTTTAAAGATGTGCCTTTCCTCCAACCCAAGCAATACAATGATTATAGCGGTCACACTGAGGCCAGGTTACACCTCCCCGTCGACCAAAGCTAGATCTATTTTATTGGTATGCAAAGGCCTTTACTTAGGGATGCAGGATAAAAACTCCCCTCTTGGCTTGGTGATGAGGATCGACCCAGAGTCATTCAGTCACAGGTTCAATCTGGGGTCATGGAGGCAAGTCCCACGAAATCTTGCCAACTTGCCCAGTGAAACAGAGTAAAGTCCAAGAGGGAGCCCAGCTTATGCCCGGCCATGCTCCTGGGTCACCAGTTGGCTCCCTCCATTTATGATGGTGACAAGCTACCTCCTATCCTGTGGCCTGTGGTATCAAAGGGAGAGTTGGAAACCTTGACCACAGAGCACCTCTTAGCATTGACCTTTCCCAGGTCGACGGAAGGGAGTCTAAGGGCAGCTTTGTGAGAGAAAGACAAGAAAGCAGCATGGCTGGGAGTCAGATCTACGTTCATATCCTGGCGCGGGCTGGGTGGCCTTGAGCAAGTGATCGGCCTCCCTGGGCCTCAGTTTCTTCAGCTACAAAATGGGTCTGTTGTAAGGATGAGGTGAGACCATTCTTGGCACACAGTGGGCGTGTGGGTGGATGCCTTCCAGCCAACAGCTGGCCCCTCACCTCTCCTCCATTGACATAGTCGAGTACAAAGTAGAGCTTCTCAGGCGTCTGGAAAGAATAGCGCAGGCCCACGAGGAAGGGGTGCCGCACATTCTTCAGCAGCACATTGCGTTCCGCCATGATGTGGCTCTGCTGTGGGGTCAGACGGGTCCATGTCACAGCTCGCCAGGCCTCTCTTACCTCACTGGCACAGCCAGCATGGCCTTGCTATTGGGGTTGTCCTGCCTAGGACTTTCTTAAGCCCTTGCTCAAACACCCTCAAAGGCTCCTAGTGCCCTTCAAGCCAAGCCCAGCCTCCTTGCCTAGTATTCAGGCTTCATTCCCACCTATTACACCTATTGGTATAGTAACTTCAACCCCTGAATCAGCAATTCCTGACCCACTCCAGCCAACAGGGAGGCTGAGGCAGGAGGATCACAAGGTCAAGGCCAGTCTCAGCAACTTAGTGAGGCCCTAAGCAACTTAGCAAGACCCTGTCTCAAAATAAAAAATTAAAAGGGCTGGGATTGTGGCTCAATGGTGAGCACCTCTGGGTTCGATCCTCATCACCAAAAACAAACAAAAAAATGTTGCTCCCGGGGTGGAAAGCAAACTATATGTGAGACCTTCATAAATGAGTTTCAGGGAAAAATCCTTAAGGAAAAAAAAAGCCACTTGCTATCCATAGTCACATCTTTGCTCTTGCTATTTTCCCTCCCTGGACAGCCATCCTTTTTTTAGACTACCAGAATGCTACTGACAAGGCCAACTCAATACTTCTTTTTCCAGAAGACCTCCCCTTGAACCCCCACGACATCCTTGTGTGCATTAATCACTCTTCTCCCTGAGTCTCCTAACTGGATACTCAATCCTCTCTCTCTGTTCTCCTAATGGGGTTGGGTGTTAAAGGGACTCAAGTCGGCTGAGGTATCTAGAAATCCAGGCTGGCCATGACTTGAAGGGCCTTTGGAGAATATAAGGTGTGGCCCCACATAAAGTGTGAGCCCATGGGGCTGGGGATGTGGCTCAAGCGGTAGCGCGCTCGCCTGGCATGCGTGTGGTACGGGTTCGATCCTCAGCACCACATACAAACAAAGATGTTGTGTCCGCCAAAAACTAAAATAAATAAATAAATAAATATTTAAAAAAGCAAAGTGTGAGCCCAGAGAGGGCAGAAAAGGTATCTGTCATGGAGCCCTGTGTTTCCATGGGAAGTCAGAGGCTTGGGCTGGTTCTCCTAAAAGCCCTATAGATGCATAGCCTCACCTGCCTTTCTGGAGAATGGCCATAATCCTGGACACCAGCTGGACCCCCTATTGTAACCACCTCAGCACAAATGTTCTTGGACCCCTCGGAGGTGGAAGCCATCTTTGGAAGCTACTCGGGAGGTCAAGAGGCAGGAGAAGAAAAGCCTGCCCGAGCTCCGGTACCTCTTTATTCTTTAAGATGGATTTTTTCTGCAGCACTTTCACTGCGTAGAACATCCCATCGGACTTGCGCTTGGCTAGTAGGACCTGAGCAGAAGCAGGAATACAAGCCCTCTGGGTGACTCTGGACGTCCCCAGGGTGACGCCTCCAGCCCTCACCCTACTTGCATTCTGCAGTATGCAAGCTCTCTCTCTGCTCATGCAAGTGGCAGGCAGGGGTGCAGGAGACCTCCCACCCCCATCTCCCCACTCACCTTCCCATAGTTCCCCTTGCCAATGACTTTGAGGAAGTCGAAGTCTGTGGGCCTGGCACTGGGGACAAGGGAAGAACACGATCGGCATTTGCAAGCTCAGGAAATCTAGTTCCTAAGGGCAAACCCAGGCTTCTTTTTAACTTTGGAGCCACGCCTCCTTGCCCCTGAGAACATCCTGTCCTCCCTGCCAAGAGAGGCTTGCAAGACTCACCCTTCACCCCACGGAACTCATGGTCTAGTTAACAACAGGCAGGGAGAGAAAGCAGGCACCTTGCAGACAAGGCAGGCATCTGGCCCCCAGCCCAGGAAGGGCATGAAGTTGGGGAGCTGCTAACAGGGCAAGTCCTGGGGGCTTTCCAGATGGAAGGTTCAATATGGGCAAAGGCTGGAGAACTAGCAGAAGACAATGCTGAGGGAGGCCCTGGGCCCTGATGGCAGAGGGTCTTCAACACCAGACCAGAGAGTTTGGATTGCATTCCCAAGACATGAGGAGCCAGCTCTGAGGGGAGCCAGGCAGGAAAGCCACCTGAGAGAGCAGAACTCACTTTGGGTTGGCCGAAGGTCCCAGGTTGATGTTCCCATTGGCTCTGGAGGGCTGAAGACATTTAAAGGAAGAGGTGGTTAAGATTGGCCAACCTCCTCCCTTTCCCCAGCCCTGGCTCTGGCCCCTTCTCCAACATCGCTACCAGCCTCCCTCCCTCCATCTCTCCCTCCATCCTTTCTTCAGTTCCCTTCTACCATTCTACTCACCTATGTACCTCCCTGTCCACCCCAGCCAGATAGCCACCATTCCACCTGCTTTTCACAAGAACCTTGGGCAGGTGCTGGCTATTGTGTGCTAATGTCAGGGTGAGAAAAGGAGGCCAAAGAGCTGTGGTCAAGGTCTTACAGGCAACAGGCGGGGACTTGAACCCCCGTCTTCTCTATCAACGCCGTAATTCCTCCACCTCATACACTTTTTGAAGCCCTTGCCCCAATCTCTCCTCAGTTCACTCTGCAAATGGCCCACCCCCATGAGCTCACGATGACCCTGTCACCTCCCAGTCCTGGTCTAGGACAGCCCATAGGGCTGGCTGGTGTCTCTACAGATTCCCTGAGCCTGGGGAGGAAGTGAGCTTCCCAGTGCTGGACGGGAGGCCAGGAACACTCACCTGTGGGCTAGGCATCCCGTCAGGGCTAGAGGCCATTCTGAGGCTGTGATCGGGTGGGCTCTGGGGCACAGGGAGGGACAGGTGTGAGAGAGGCCCCATCCCAAGCATCAGGCCTGGCTGCCTTCTCCCTCCTCCCAACCCTGAACCCCTGCCACAGCCTGAGTGGCTCCTTTCCCGGACTCCAGCAGCCCCTACCTGGAGACGGCAAGAAGTGACATCCCCAGGCCCAGCCTTTCTCACCAACACCTCAGAAGGGGTAGGGGTGGACAGAGTGGCCCCTTCCAGGCTGGGTCTTTTCAAAGGTCAGGGACAGCTAGAGCAGCAAGACCCCTGCTAGTCATGGCAGCTCCGGAAATCCAGGAGGGCCAGGGCTGCAAGTAGGCCCTACGTTTAAATCTTTCCCCCACCTGGATTCTGTGGATAGTTCCAGACTGGGCTCTATACTGACTATTACCGCCTTGCCACAAGGACTTCTGCCCAGTGCCCAGGAACAGCAGTTGCCCTGGGGACCTTGGACTGAATCCATGGAGAGGTGCAAGACTGGCCAGTCAGTTGATTTGAGATCAGGCCATGGATGGAGTGACCAGCAGTGTCCTCCCCACCCTTACACTGCAGCACGGAAGAAGCCAGCACATTCAGACCCAGCTCAGGGTGCTCGGACCCCACAGCCCCTGCACCTCCTACCTGGACGGTCAAGGCTTAGAGCCAAGCTCTCTCCTGAGAGCCCAGTTGTTCCTGGGGGTTGTTGGAAATTGTGCATTCCAAGACCATAGCTTTGGCCTGCTGAGGGGCCTGGGCCGCAGCCTGGTCTCTCTGAGTAGAAACCACCCATCTGTATAAGAGAGACCCTGGAGAGTGACCATAGGGAGGGACTCTTCCTGCCAGGCTGCTCTGAGAAGCCCATYCTGTCATGCCCCGAGAGAGGGAGCTGCAGAACAGGGAGTACAGCGACTTCAGCCCACACCCAGGGCCGAGTTCCCCAGGACAGCCCAGGACGGGGCCACACCTTCCCTGCTCCCCCTGGTGGCTCCTTTGCCAGCCCATGGCCTCCCTGGCCCCACATACCTGTGCAGCTGAGGAGAGGCCTCCGGGAGAAGCAGCGGCTGGAGCCGAGGACCGCAGTGGACAAGAGAGCCCACACTGTTCTCCCAACAAGGGCCGATGTGTCAGTGCCTGGTGCCGACCGGGCCCAGCAGGGAGCTCAGAACTCCCAGCAGCAGTGAAGGGGCTGGCTGATGTCACACGGGATCCAGCAGAGCTTAAGACAAGACAGGAGACTTCTATTCCCTCAGGGACACCATCTCCTCTGGGGGGCAAAGCAGGGGGTGGGCAACAGCCCCAGAAGAGCCTGGACGTGGGGCTTATTGGAATATATGGGACTGTGTGTCATGTGCATGAGGAATCGTATTGGGCATTGATGTGCACCCGTGTGTCTCTGTGTGTCAATGTGGCCCTGTCTTTCAGGTACGCGTGTGTGTGCGCGCATAAGAATGTGTGTGTTGATGTGACTGCAGTTGTACATTTTTGTCAGTGTGTCTGTTTGTCAGTTTGTCAGTGTATCCTTTGTGTTTCTGTGTGTGTGGTATGCTTCCACATGACCGTGTTGTGTGTGTCCGTGTGTATTTGTATACATGTTAGTGTGCTTGTGTGGGGGGGTGGACGGGAGTCTCTGTGTGGGTGTCTCCTTGTTTGTCTGCAGATGAGTATAAGTTTGTATCCCTATGTGTGTGTGTGTGACCACATCACCAGGTAACATCTGTGGACGTCCATACTTGTGTATAGCAGTACATTTCTGTGTGTATATACACGTGTGCACACATGTACGGGGGGCCTGTCTGTAAGAACATATGGTCCAGCAGCCTAACCAGGCGCTGTGTAGACCATGAGGGGATAGAGACCTGGGCCCTGGCAGCTGACAGTGCTCTGCCACCCAGGAACTTGCAGCTGTTTCAGAGAGGCAGAGCTGATCTCCTGCTTTTGCTGCTGAGCATGTGGCCCTTGAGTCACCCCCCCCCCAGGCCAGGGCTGCTTGGCCCATAGCTCTCCTGATGTGTAAGAAAGTGTCCCGGGGGCACCCTGGCACACGCAGGCCTTGCTGTCAGGGGTGATCATTGGGTTCTTACAGGACAATATCTGCTCCCTGGGGCTCCTGAAGGGTGAGCTGATGATCTAGGGAATGGAGGAGCTGATGAGCCCAACATAGCCCCTGTCCTTCCGGAGCTTTCTGTGTGGCTATAACCTACTCCAAGAGAGGGACCCACAGAGCTGGGCAGAGGGGTTGTTGGTCAGGAAGGGAACTGAGCGCAGTGGCCTCCAGAGCTCTCTGCGAGCTGTGAAATGCAGGTGTTGACCCAGGAAACACCAGTGAATAGTATCAAAGTCTTTCATCTCCCACAAAATAGAATCGTGGACCCAACACACAGACCTGCAGGAGGCCGCGTTGACAAAACACTTAGCCAGAACAAGGGCATTTCTTTCCAATAATAGGACCCTGATGGCCCTTCATTCAGCAGCACTAGTTATCAGAACAAAATAACTGTGACAGCAGCAGCCTAAATGTTCTCGCAGGGCACTTCAGGCTCCTGCTCGTGACCTTCCACCCCGTCCAGGACTGCCCATCTCTCTGTTCTCTCAGTTAAACTCGTCAAAGGAGCTGTCTGGACTCAGTGTCTCTGCTCCCTTTTCTTTTCTGTCTTGAACCCACTCCAAACAGGCTTCCGTCCCAACAGTCCAGTAAATTGGTGGACAGAGGCCTCCATGTGCCAAAGCCATCGAGGAATTCTGGATCCTCCTCTTCCTCGACTTGTCTGCCGTTGAGAGGGGTTGACCTCAGAGGTCCTGGGGCTCCTTCTAGCTCCCTGCCTGATCCTTCTCCATCTCTGACACTGAATTCCTTTCTTTATCCTTCAGCCCTGTCTTAGCCCTTGGATCTTTATCTGCACTCATTTCTTAGTTGATCAAAACCCGTTTAATGGCTTCACTGATTATATTCAGAGGCTCCCAAATTTCTCTTTCTAGCTCTAATTCTCCCCTGAACTCTGAACCAATTGCTTCCTTGACACTTCATTAGTTAGATATTTAGAGGAAACTCAGTCTTAAAATGGCCCAAACAAGCCAGGACTTCCTTTCCTTCTACTCTGCCCCAGCCTGCTCCTCCCATAGGGTTCTACTGCCTATTTAAAAGTTGAAGTTAGCAACTCGGAAGTCATCCGGGAAACTTAGCACCCTCATCCCAATCCCACTCTCTCATGGAATCCCATCAAAATATGTCCAGAAAATAAGACCTGCAGGGGAGGAGACACCTGTGCTTCATGTGAATGGCGGCACTATTCATGATTAGCCAACATACGGAATTGGCCTTCGGGTCCATCAGTGGATGAATGGATTATGTATAATAGAATACTATTCAGCCATAAAAAGATTGAAATCCTGTCATTTCTGGCAACACCAATGAACTTGGCAGACATTATGTTGAGTGAAATAAGGCAGGCACTGGGAGACAAATAGTGCATGATCTCACTCATTTGTGAAATTTTAAAAAGTTGTCATAAGAGTTGGAGAATAGAGAGTAGAATAGTGGCTACCAAGCCTGGTGTGGTGGCTGAGGCAGGAGGATCATAAATCGGAGGCCAGCCTCAGTGACTTAGTGAGATTCATGGTCACAAAATAAAAAGTTAAAAGGTCTGGGGGTATAGCTTAGTGGTACAGCACCCCTGGGTTTGATCCCCAATATCACCAAAAAAAGAAAATCAGATCACGTGTCTTCATTGCTAAAAACTCCAGTGTCTTCCCATTGAACTTAGAATTAAAGTTCTGAGTGTCTGCCAAGTTCTTAAGAGATTCCACATCTCCAGCTTGTCTTCATTGCTTCCTGCCCCCCCACCCCATCCCCTGATGGTCCTCAGGGCATCCACCTGCCTCATTCATCCAACCCGGCTGCTCTGGCTCCCTCTCTCTGTCCCTCAAACACACAAAGTGCCCTCTGGTCTCTGGCCCCTTGCACTTACTTTTCCCTCTGCCTAGAAAGTTCTTCCCCAAGACATCTGCATGTCGGGACATCACAGAGGTCTCTGCTTTAGGATCACCACCCAGAGAGGCCTGTGCTGTTTATAGATGCCAGGTGGTCATGGTTTTTTCTGGGACTCAGGGCTGTCAGTGTTAAAACTGGTACAGTCCTGGGCACACGAGGGTGGTTGGTCACTAACAATAGCAGGGACACCTCTTCCCTACATTCTTTTTCTGTTTGTATTTTGCTTTGTAGCACACTCATCGCACTGGCACCTTATCAAGCCACTATTTAAATGGTTTTATTTTCTGTGTCCAACTAGAACATGAGTTTCACAAGGGCAAATACTTTTCTTGTTCACTACTGAATCCTCGTCATTTAGAACAGGCCTGGAACTAATAGATGCTCAGGACATATTCTACTAAGGAAATCAGGAATGGCTTGATAAATCATGGTATATACATAAAGTGGAAAATTCCACAATCAAAAACTCCATATAAGGGCTGGGGATGTGGCTCAAGCGGTAGCACGCTCGCCTGGCATGCGTGCGGCCCGGGTTCGATCCTCAGCACCACATACCAACAAAGATGTTGTGTCCGTAGAAAACTGGAAAATAAATATTAAGAAAATTCTCTCTCTCTCTCTCTCTCTCTCTCTCTCACTCTCTCTTAAAAAAAAAAAAAACTCCATATAAGCCTAAATAAATCAAAATGGGAACCTGTAACTGATGCAATCTCAAGCAAAAAAGCAAGTTTCAAACTGGTCCCTACATACACAAGTACGTCCATGGATATTTGTGTGTCTAACTTCACACACACACGAAGGTGGGAGGCTATGACTGTAGATTCTTAGGTTGCTTTTATTTTTACTTTTGACGGATTATGTAAAGTTCCCCAGATGTTACTGTTCAGTTAACATTTAAATATGAAGTCCCTGCGGGAACCCGGGCGCACCCATTGCCCACCACCACCCTCTCCCATCGCCTTGACCATGACTCCCACTCCTGGGCATCTCTCCCTGCCTAAGCTTGCTTCCTGGCTGACCACTGTCTGATTATTTGGCT